TCTCAATATATGCACAGCCCTACATCCGATCATTGGCAAGCCTTAAAGCGCATCCTCCGATATCTCAACGGAACATGAGGTCATGGTATATTCTTATCTCGCTCCTCTCCTACAGCTTTGCATGCTTTTTCGGATGCCGATTGGGGTGGTGATCGCAATGATTTTACATCAACGGGAGCATATATATTGTCTATCTTGGTCGGAATCCCATCTCTTGGTCATCCAAGAAACAACGATTTGCGGCGAAATCCTCTACCGAAGCAGAATACAAATCCGTCTCCTCTACCGCCTCCGAGGTACAATGGTTACTCTCTCTCCTCTCGGAACTCCGAATCTCCCTGCCTTCAAAGCCGGTTATTTATTGTGACAATGTCGGAGAAACCTATCTTGCTGCAAATCCCATCTTTCACTCGAGAATGAAGCATGTGGGTATTGATTATCATTACATACGCGGTCATGTCCAAGCCAAGCAGCTTAGAGTCTCTCACGTTTCATCCATGGACCAACTCGCCGACGCGCTCACTAAACCTCTTCCTCGAGGACGTTACGAAGCTCTCAGTACCAAGATCGGCCTCGCCACCGACACCGATCTTGCGGGGGCATGTTAGCGGTTACCGTATATATGAAGAAATATCTTCTAGATTTGATTTGCTGTAACTTCGTTTCCTATTTCTCCTCATGCTGAATGTGTATATAACTTTGTGTATCACTTGTGCTAATAATCAATCAATAATATTTTCCAAACTCTATCAAATAGACACAAAAAATATAGCCAAAACCTCTATTTTTGTCTCTTGGACAATATTACAAAACTTGGTATTTGTTCATACTACTTTTAGATATGCTTCTTGATTCGTGTACTCATATCAGCCGATAGAGTCGAGCCGCACCACGTAGACATATAATCTGTAATTGAATTAAAAACAAAATTAAATTCAAGTACTACATAATAATATTATAATAATTTATTTTCAATGTATCTTTATCCGACCCGTAAAAATGCATGTGCAAGTGGAGCAAGGGCACATGGCCCCACAATTTGATGGGCCTCACATTTAAAAAAGGATTTTTAGATACTAATAATTTGTAACTATATTTATTAATATAAATATGATAAATAATTAAAATTATATTTAACATAAAGTTTCGTAATTATTATCATTAATATTTATAATTTTTGAGTTATGTTTGTGACGTTTTAACATTTAATTTATCAATTAATATAATTAAAAAATTTATTTAATATTTTTATAAAAAAATAAAAAAATATTTTGTACAGAGCCTCCGAATCCATCGGGACGGCTTTATATTGAGTAACCTGATCTAGAATCAAAATTTATAGACATTGATATCCTACTTGAGTATTCATAATTAACCTTTAATATCCAATAAAATTGCATACTATATTACAGCGTTAACGGAGATTGTAATTAATTTTTTTCAAGAAACAAATCAGCATAACCTATATATATAAATAATATGTCCATTGGATTTGTAGAAATAGAAAGAAATATTTTAAAAATAGAAACCACAATCCAAATTCAAGAGACATAGCACCAATCACAAAGATTCCAAAAAAAAAATTCTATTAAATAAACCAATTCTATGCATATCAATCCCAACCAATGGGAGCATAGCACCGATCACAGAGCTTTTGATATTGTCTTTTTGAATGGCTTCTCATGCCTTCATGTTTCATCGGACTGTCAGTTCGATGCTGTTTCTTGTAATCACGGCGTTGGTAATCACAACCTCCTCCGGAAGGAGAGAGCTTTCAGAACTACAAGAAGTTGAGATTCAAAGACACTTGAAACAAATCAATAAGCCCGCTGTCAAATCCATCAAGGTATATGTATATAAGTACACATACATATATAAATTATAAAATTTATTAATTCTTATATATAGATTTCGTGATGGGATACGTTCATGTTTCGATTATATTATGTTATGTTAGTGTATCACTTTTCATGTTGGTGTTTGAACAGAGTTTAGATGGAGATATATTTGATTGTGTTAACATCACCAACCAACTCGGGTTTGATCATCCTTTACTAAAGAACCACACTATTCAGGTATATACTTTTTTTCTTGATAAGTTGTTTTGCTTTTCTCCTTTTGAATCTTTTTTTTTTTTGTTGATACTTTCTCTATATATAGTATTGATTTGCTATTTATTTTACATTATTTCGTTTGTGTCGTTCGGATGGGGAAAATGCCAAATAGATGAGACCGAGTTTTATCCCAAAAGATCTTTTTAGAAACGATAAAAAACAATCGGGGTTCTTAAGTACTCAGTTATGGCAAAGGAGTGGAAAATGTCTAGAAAACACCGTTCCAATAAGAAGAACAACAAGGGAAGATCTCCTACGATGGGGTTCCATCGAAAGTTACGGGAAAAAGGATCCAAATAGCATCCATAACTATGGATCTCACCCAGCTGCAAATTATGAACCCACTGTACATGAGGTATATATATTTTTGTTAGCAATTTCACAAACATTCAGTCCTCAAGTATGTTATTGTCATTGACCCTTTTTGCATCAGTATGCCATATTTCGAGGGAGAGTAGGAGGAATATATAACGGAATAGAAGCCGCAATCAACGTGTTGAAACCATATGTTCAAGAATGGGATGAGTTTAGTTTGGCCCAAATGTGGATTTTGGAAACTCAACAAAAAACAGGCTGATCGTTACAAAACAGGCTGCTACAACCACATGTGTTCCGGCTTTGTCCAAACCAACCAAGGGATCAGTATTGGTACTAGCTTTGACCGAGTTTCAACCTACGATGGCGAACAATTTATGGTCACACTACTTATAATGAAGGTAAAAAGAAAGAAATCTTGACTCTTTCGCCTAAATCACGTAAAAAAAAAAAACTTAACATATAACTACATAGAGAAGTAAAGGTTTCGGTGGATCCCCAGAGTGGAGATTGGTGGCTCATAGTGAATGATGTGACTGTCGGGTATTGGCCGAAATCAATCTTGTCGCATCTAAAGGGCTCTGCATCGGGCGTCGAATGGGGAGACGAGATCTTGAACTTTAAAGTAGGCGGCCGACACACGAACACCGACATGGGAAGTGGCCACTTCGCGGAGGAAGGGTTCAAAAAGTCGTGCAGCATGCACCACATTTCCATAGTCGACGAGCATCACGTCAAGAGGGAAGCCGAGATCGATCAAGCCATCGAGGATGATGCGAAATGTTACAATTTAGCTCGTGGGAGTAATGATCCTAACCGGAGAACTTACATCTACTTCGGCGGACCTGGTCAAAACTCTGGTTGTCCGTGAATGAATGTGCGCCATTTTCTGAAAGAAGTTGATGGAATAAATGTTTGCTTTAATAAGAGTAAGCGAAAACAAGCTTTTAACATAATATTTTATCAAAAAAGTATAATTTTATAAATTGAAATGGTCCGGTCCAATTGAAGGAATAAATGTTCCAGAATTTATAAAATAAATATACCTTTTTAAGAATTTTTTTTTAAAAATCGATTTGTTTAAATTCGGTTCGGTTCTAGAAAATTCGGTTTTCTAAGAAAATACCGTTCGAAAAGTTTGGACAGTTCGATTTAAAAACAAGTACCACAAAACGGAACCAAAATCCCAACCCTACCTCCTAGTGCCCATTTTGGTAAGGTAAATATCATTTTGCGATAAAATGTAGTGGAATCATAAGGATCGGATTTCGAAGAAACTAAACACCAAAAATATAGCCAAAACCTCTATTTTTGTCTCGTGGATAATAATATAAAACTTGGTATTTGTTCATACTACTTTTAGATAGGCTTCTTGATTCGTGTACTCATATCAGCCGATAGAATAGGGATGTCAAAATGAGCCGAGTTTGCGAGCCAACTCGAGGTTGACTCCTTTTTTACCGAACCGAGTCAAGAATATCGAAAATCCAAATAATAAATGGACTGATTGAGCCATCTCCCACGAGCCGAGCCCAAATGAGCTAGCTCAGTCAGCTCGCAAGCTAACTCAGGAGCTGGAGTAAAAAAAACAAAGATTCCTTACTTTGAAACTTGAAAGTGTTGATATTGTTTTGTATGATATTTTGATTTGAAAATAATTTTTTTATACATGGATTATGATCTGAAGATGGTTTTTTGTATATGGATTAGGATTTGATTGTACATATATGGATTAGAATCTGAAAATAGTTTTTTTGTATATGGATGGATTGTGATTTGAGCTATTTGAAGTTGATTTTTGGTTTATGGATTGTGGTTGGAAATATAAATATGATTTGGATGTACTGGTATATTCTTTTTATGTTGATGTATCATTTGAATAGGTATTTAGAAACATATGAGACGGCTCGCGAGCTAAGGACGGACTGGGGCTGAGCCACAAATTTTTTGACCCCACTAAAAATGAGCTTAACGAGTTGGGCTGAAAATGAGGTGGCTCGAAAGATATGGTCCGATCTATTCCGAACTGACTCGGTTGACATCCCTATGATAGAGTCACGCCACGTAGACAAGTAATCTATAATTGAATTAACAATAAAATTAAATTCAAGTACTACATAATAATACTATTATAGTTTTCCGAATATTCAATGTATCTTTATATTGAGTAACCTGATCTAGAATCCAAATTTATAGACATTGATATCCTATTTGAGTATTCATAATTAACCTTTAATATCCAATAAAATTGCATACTATATTACAACGTTAACGGAGATTGTAGTTAATTTGTTTCGAGAAACAAATCAGCATTCCCTATACATAAAAATAATATGTCCATCGGATTTGTAGAAATAGAAAAAAATATATTAAACATAGAAACCATAATCCAAATTCAAGAGACATAGCACCGCTGACAAAGATTCCAAAAACAAAAAAAATCTATTAAATAAACCAATTCTATGCATATCAATCCCAAGCATTGGGAACATAGCACCAATCACAAAGCGTTTGATATTGTCTTTTTGAAAGGCTTCTCATGTCTTCATGTTTCATCGGACTTTCAGTTCGATGCTGTTTCTTGTAATCACGGCGTTGGTAATCACAACCTCCTCCGGAAGGAGAGAGCTTTCAGAACTACAAGAAGCTGAGATTCAAAGACACTTGAAACGAATCAATGAGCCCGCTGTCAAATCCATCAAGGTATATATATATAAGTACACATACATATATAAATTATAAAATTTATTAATTCTTATATATAGATTTCGTGACGGTATACGTCATGTTTCGATTATGTTATGTTATGTTAGTGTATCACTTTTCATGTTGGTGTTTGAACAGAGTTTAGATGGAGATATATTTGATTGTGTTAACATCACCAACCAACTTGCCTTTGATCATCCTTTACTAAAAAACCACACTATTCAGGTATATACTTTTTTTTCTTTATAAGTTGTTTTGATTTTCTCCTTTTAAATCTTTTTTTTTTTTGTTGATACTTTCTCTATATATAGGATTGATTTGCTATTTATTTTACATTATTTCTTTTGTGTCGTTCGGATGGAAAAAATGTCAAATAGATGAGACCGAGTTTTATCCCAAAAGATCTTTTTAGAAACGATAAAAAACAGTCGGGGTTCATAAGTACTCAGTTATGGCAAAGGAGTGGAAAATGCCCAGAAAACACCGTTCCAATAAGAAGAACAACAAGGGAAGATCTCCTACGATGGGGTTCCATCGAAAGTTACGGGAAAAAGGATCCAAATAGCATCCGTAACTATGGATCTCACCCAGCTGCAAATAATGATCCCACTGTACATGAGGTATATTTTTGTTAGCAATTTCACAAACATTCAATCCTCAAGTATGTTATTGTCATTGACCCTTTTTGCATCAGTATGCCATAATTCGAGGGAGAAGAGGAGGAATATATAACGGAATAGAGGCTGCAATCAACGTGTGGAAACCACATGTTCAAGAATTGGATGAGTTTAGTTTGGCCCAGATGTGGATTTTGGGGGGCATTGATGCTCCGGATCTTAATTCCCTCGAAGCTGGTTGGCAGGTTTTTGTCCGTTGGTCTTGTTTCATTCATGTGTCCGATCATTTATGATTCTGACTCTGACTCAAGCCATGGTTCAAAAACATTTGTTCATAGGTGTATCCAAGATTGTACGGTGACGATAACCCCCAGTCTCTTTATTTTTTGGACCGTAAGTTTGCTTGATCATGGTCTAATATTTCCTCGTAATTTTCCATATTGGCACACGACATAGCTAATAAGCCATTCTCATCATGTGTGATGATGAAATGGGAAACTCAACAAAAAACATGCTGATCGTTACAAAACAGGCTGCTACAACCACATGTGTTCCGGTTTTGTCCAAACCAACCAAGGGATCGGTGTTGGTGCTACCTTTGACCGAGTTTCAACCTACGATGGCGAACAATTTATGGTCACACTACTTATAATGAAGGTAAAAAGAAAGAAATCTTGACTCTTTGGCCAAAATCACGTTAAAAAAAACTTCATATATAACTATATAGAGAAGTAATGGTTTTGCAGGATCCCCAGAGTGGAGATTGGTGGCTCATAGTGAATGATGTGAGTGTCGGGTATTGGCCGAAATCAATCTTGTCGCATCTAAAGGGCTCTGCCTCGGCCGTCGAATGGGGAGGCGAGATCTTGAACTTTAAAGTAGGCGGCCGACACACGAGCACCGGCATGGGAAGCGGCCATTTTGCGGAGGAAGGGTTCAAGAAGTCGTGCAACATGGACCACATTTCCATAGTCGACGAGCATCATGCCAAGAGGGATGCCGAGATCGATCAAGCCTTCATGGATAATGCGAAATGTTACAATTTAGCTCATGGGAGTAACGATCCTAAGTGGAGAACTTACATCTACTTTGGCGGACCAGGTCAAAACCCTGGCTGTCCGTGAACGAACGTGTGCCCATTTTCTGAAAGAAGTTGAAAGAATAAATGTTTGCTCTAATAAGAGTAAGCCAAAAAAGCTTATAACATAATTCTTTAGACAAAACACAAGTATAATTTTATAAATTGAAATGGTTCGGTCCAATTGAAGGAATAAATGTTCCGGTATTTATAAAACAAATAAATATACCCTTTTAAGATTTTTTTTTTAAAATTCGATTGGGCCCCATTCGGTTCGGTTCTAGAAAATTCGGTTTTCTAAAAAAATACTGTTCGAGAATATTGGACGGCTCGATCGATTAAAAACAGATCTTGCATTTTCCGGTTTGGTATGACTCGATTCAGCAAAATGGAACCGAAAATCCCAACCCTACCTCCTAGTGCCCGTTTTGGTCAGGTAAATATCATTTTGCGATAAGATGTAGTGGAATGATAAGGATCGGATTTCGAAGAAACTAAACACCAAAAATATAGCCAAAACATCTATTTTTGTCTCGTGGATAATAATATAAAACTTGGTATTTGTTCGTACTACTTTTAGACACGCTTCTTGATTCGTGTACTCATATCAATCGATAGAGTAGGGATGTCAAAACAAGCCGAGTTTGTGAACCAACTCAAGGTTGGCTCCTTTTTTACCGAGCCGAGCCAAGAATATCGAAAACCCAAATAAAAAATAGATCGAGTGAACCACCTCGCCACGAGCCGAGCCCCAACAAGCTAGCTCGGTCAGTTCGCGAGCTGACTCGGGAACTGGAGTAAAAAAAAACTAAAGATTCCTTACTTTGAAACTTGAAAGCGTTGATATTGTTTGGTATGATATTTTGATTTGAAAATAATTTTTTTATACATGGATTAGGATCTGAATATGGTTTTTTGTACATGGATTAGGATCTGATTGTACATGGATGGATTATGATCTGAAAATAGTTTTTTGTATATGGATGGATTGTGATTTGATTTATTTGAAGGTGATTTTTTGTATATTGATTGTGATTGTGAATATAAGTATGATTTGGATGTATTGCTATATTCTTTTTATGTTGATATATTATTTGGATAGGTATTTAGAAACATATCAGTCGGCTCGCGAGCTAAGCGACTTGGGATGAGTCAGGAATTTTCTGACCCAAATAAAAACGGGCTTAACGAGTTGGGCTGAAAATGAGCTGGCTCAAAAGAGATGGTCCGATCTGATCTGAACTGGCTCGTTTGACATCCCTACGATAGAGTCGCGCCATGTAGACAGGTAATCTGTAATTGAAAAAATAAAATTAAATTCAAGTACTACATAATAATATTATAATAGTTTTCCAAATATTTAATGTATCTTTATATTGAGTAACCTGATCTTGAATCCAAATTTATAGACATTGATATCCTATTTGAGTATTCATAATTAACCTTTAATATCCAACGAAATTGCATACTATATTACATCGTTAACGGAGATTGTAATTAATTTATTTCGAGAAACAAATCAGCATTCCCTATATATAAAAATAATATGTCCATCGGATTTGTAGAAATATAAAAAAAATATATTAAACATAGAAACCATAATCCAAATTCAAGAGACATAGCACCAATGACAAAGATTCCAAAAAAAAAAATCTATTAAATAAACCAATTCTATGCATATCAATCCCAAGCATTGGGAACATAGCACCAATCACAAAGCGTTTGATATTATCTTTTTGAATGGCTTCTCATGTCTTCATGTTTCATCGGACTGTCAGTTCGATGTTGTTTCTTGTAATCACGGCGTTGGTAATCACGATCTCCTCCGGAAGGAGAGAGCATTCAGAACTACAAGAAGTTGAGATTCAAAGACACTTGAAACGAATCAATAAGCCCGCTGTCAAATCCATCGAGGTATATGTATATAAGTACACATACATATATAAATTATAAAATTTCTTAATTCATATATATAGATTTCGTGACGTGGGATATGTTCATGTTTCGATTATGTTATATTATGTTAGTGTATCACTTTTCATGTTGGTGTTTGAACAGAGTTTAGATGGAGATATATTTGATTGTGTTAACATCACCAACCAACTCGCGTTTGATCATCCTTTACTAAAGAACCACACTATTCAGGTATATACTTTTTTTCTTTATAAGTTGTTTTGCTTTCCTCCCTTTGAATCTTTTTTTGTTGTTGATATTTTCTCTATATATAGTATTGATTTGCTATTTATTTTACATTATTTCTTTTGTGTCGTTTGGATGGGGAAAATGCCAAATAGATGAGACCGAGTTTTATCCCAAAAGATCTTTTTAGAAACGATAAAAAACAATCGGGGTACATAAGTACTCAGTTATGGCAAATGAGTGGAAAATGCCCAGAAAACACTGTTCCAATAAGAAGAACAACAAGGGAATATCTCTTACGATGGGGCTCCATCGAAAGTTACGGGAAAAAGGATCCAAATGCCATCCGTAACTATGGATCTCACCCAGCTGCAAATAATGAACTCACTAAACATGAGGTATATATATTTTTGTTAGCAATTTCACAAACATTCAATCCTCAAGTATGTTAGTGTTATTGGCCCTTGTTGCATCAGTATGCCATAATTCGAGGGAGAGTAGGAGGAATATATAACGGAATAGAAGCCGCAATCAACGTGTGGAAACCATATGTTCAAGAATGGGATGAGTTTAGTTTGGCTCAGATGTGGATTTTGGGCGGCATTGATGCTCCGGATTTTAATTCCCTTGAAGCTGGTTGGCAGGTTTTTGTCTGTTGGTCTTGTTTCATTTATGTCTCCAATCATTTATGATTCTGACTCTGACTCAAGCCATGATTCAAAAACATTTGTTCATAGGTGTATCCAAGATTGTATGGCGACGACAACCCCCGTCTCTTTATTTTATGGACCGTAAGTTTGCTTGAGCATGGTCTAATATTTCCCCGTATTTTCCCATATTGGCAAACGACGTAGCTAATAAACCATTCTCATGTGATGATGATGAAATGGGAAACTCAACAAAAAAAAAAACAGGTTGATCGTTACAAAACAGGCTGCTACAACCACCTGTGCTCCGGTTTTGTCCCAACCAACCAAGGGATCGGGTGCTACCTTTGACCGAGTTTCAACCTACGATGGCGAACAATTTATGGTCACACTACTTATAATGAAGGTAAAAAGAAAGAAATCTTGACTCTTTGGCCAAAATCACGTTTAAAAAAACTTCATATATAACTATATAGAGAAGTAATGGTTTTGCAAGATCCCCAGAGTGGAGATTGGTGGCTCATAGTGAATGATGTGAGTGTCGGGTATTGGCCGAAATCAATCTTGTCGCATCTAAAGGGCTCTGCATCGGGCGTCAAATGGGGAGGCGAGATCTTGAACTTTAAAGTAGGCGGCCGACACATGAACACCGACATGGGAAGCGGCCACTTCGCGGAGGAAGGGTTCAAGAAGTCGTGCAACATGGACCACATTTCTATAGTCGACGAGCATCATGTCAAGAGGGATGCCGAGATCGATCAAGCCATCCAGGATGATGCGAAATGTTACAATTTAGCTCATGGGAGTAATGATCCTAACTGGAGAACTTACATCTACTTCGGCGGACCTGGTCAAAACCCTGGTTGTCCGTGAATGAGTGTGCGCCCATTTTCTGAAAGAAGTTGATGGAATAAATGTTTGCTTTAATAAGAGTAAGGGAAAACAAGCTTATACCATAATTCTTTATAAAAAAAGTATAATTTTATAAATTGAAATGGTCCGGTCCAATTGAAGGAATAAATGTTCCGGTATTTATAAAAAAATAAATATACCTTTTTAAGATTTTTTTTAAAAATCGATTCGTTTCGATTCGATTCGGTTCTAGAAAATTCGATTTTCTAAAAAACTAACGTTCGAGAATTTTAGACGATTCGATTAAAAAAAATACCGCATTTTTCGGTTTGGTATGGCTCGATTCAACAGAACCGAACCGAAAATCCCAACCCTACCTCCTAGTGCCCATTTTGGTCAGGTCAATATCATTTTGCGATAAAATGTAGTGGAGTGATAAGGATCGGACTTCGAAGAAACTAAACATAAAAAATATAGCCAAAACCTCTATTTTTGTCTCGTGGACAATAATATAAAACTATTTATTTGTTCATACTACTTTAAAATAGGCTTCTTGATTCGTGTACTCATATCAGCCGATAGAATAGGATGTCAAAACGAGCCGAGTTTGCGAACCAGTTCGAGGTTGGCTCCTTATTTATCGAGCCGAGCCAAAACTATTGAAAACCCAAATAAAAAATGGGCTGACTGAACCACCTCGCCATGAGCCGAGCCCAAACAAGCTAGCTCGGTCAGTTCGCGAGCTGATTTGGGAGCTGGAGTAAAAAAAAACAAAAATTCCTTACTTTGAAGTTTGAAAGTGTTGATATTGTTTGTTATGATATTTTGATTTGAAAATAATTTTTTTATACATGGATTAGGATCTCAAGATGGTTTTTCGTACATGGATTATGATCTAATTGTACATGGATGGATTAGGATCTGAAAATAGTTTTTTGTATATGGATGGATTGTGATTTGATTTATTTGAAGCTGATTTTTTGTATATGGATTGTGATTGTGAATATAAGTATGATTTGAATGTATTGATATATTCTTTTTATGTTGATCTATGTAATAACCTGAATCCAATTTGGAATATTTAATTAATTTCGGAGGAGAACAATTATATAAACGGGTACTAAACCTTAAGAAATGGATCACAAAGTGTTGGAAAAAGGCCCGGAAATCCACTCCGAGTGAACGAGATGAGAAAAGACGAGAAAATGACAAGAAGAAGGAAAAATATGTCTAGAACGATCGGTCTAGCATGTAGACCAATCGGTCTGAACCATAGCGAGACTGATCGGAGAAAAAAAAAGAGGTCAGGACCGACCGGTGCAGACTCTGGACCGATCAGTCCAGGCGAAGGAAAATATTAGGCGACCTTGCTTTATTGGCGCGACAAAAACACGATAAAAAGGGGCCT